TTGCTCTTTAGGGAGGATGTGATGTCATTAGGACCCTCTTGGTTAAAGTGACAATGCTTGGCATATGTGGCTAAATGTGGAGAAAAAAAAAAAGAATTTCTGATGAAAGTAGTTTCTAGTCCAGAATTTGTGATTTGCTTATTCTTTTTTCTGTCTACTTGTGGTTCTTTTATCTAACCACAGGGTCCTTTTGTCCTGCCCTAAGCTCTCCTGTGTGCTCCAGGGCAGAGGGCCCTTGCTGCTGCCTCTGGGTGACCACTGGCACAGGGTCAGTGGTGTGGGGTGATGTTCCCTGGAACTTTGCACACACACAGGCTTTCCTGCTGATTATCTTTTCATGTGAGGTTTCTTGTGGTTTTGTATTAACYCTCTGCCAAGAAGCCTTTTGTTTCCTGGGTCTGTCAGAATCCGGGTTCCTCTGACTTTGATGTTGTTGGGTTTTGTGCTGTTACTTAAAGCTGAGTTAGGAAAAATTGTTTAGGAGCTGTGTTTATGTCATTGGGTATCAAAGCATTTTGGTGAGTGAGGAAAGCTGCTGTTGGGCTGCAGAGATGTGTGAGGGTCACTGGTGCTGTGTGAACAGTGCCCTGCAGAGGGTGGGTTGGAGGATCAGTGTGAAAACGTGTCGAGAGAGGCAGGAGCCATCCCAGAGCCTCCTGAGTTTGGTACTGGGCTTAAAAGTGATCAGGTGTCCTTTAAAAAACCAAACAACCCCTCTGAAACAAATTAAACCCCTCAAAGCAGACAGATCCTGCAGATTCCTTCATCTGCTGGAAAAGCATTTATGTGTGGGGTCAGTTCCAGAGCAGAAGGAGCACCCTGCCCTTCTGCCTGGGCTACAGGAACATGGTGTGATTGTGATGTGAAAAAGTGGATAAAGTGGCTGAGAACAGCGAGGAGAGAGCTGTAGGATTTTGGCAGGAACACTTTCAGTTACGGCCTTTTAACTGGAAACTTTGAACTCAATCTAATTCAGTAAGAGATCACCCCAGTAATTAAATTGATGTCACAGCCCCAATGTTGAAGCTTTTCTGTTAGTTTTTCTTCATAGTATGTGTAGTTCTGTGGAGTTGTCATTCAGTGTTTGTCTGCTATTGTTTAGATACACAAATCTATTCCTGACTTATTTTCTTGGTTTTTGGGTTTTTTTTTAAGTCTTACAAACAAGTAAGTTTTCAAGAAATTTGTTTATCTCTGATTTTCTCTCCTGCTCAGCTTGTCTGCAGAGGAGGCGACTATCAAAGAGTTTCTTCCACTCTTTTTTTTTTTTTTGGCCAGGTTTTTATCAGTCCCGTGACAAGAATTGCAGAGTACCCACAGCCTCTTTATCTTGTGTACCTTCGTGGCAGTTTCCTGGGATGTGGGAATGTTACTGGGCTCATCAGCAAATCCCTGGGAAGAAACTTTTAGATGATTTTAGGCCAGGGTAAGCTGGAAACTGAAGTCTGGTGCCCTGAAGTTCAGGATGGTGTATAAATCACTGTTTTTTCCCTTGACCCAAGACTTTCTSAAACCCTTGGTTATTATCTTCCTGAAGGATTTTAGCTTTTCTGATGCTAAGAACTGTAGAAATTAATAGTAGTCATGAATATGATTGGAATAATTTTATTTCTTTCTCTCAGTTCTTGAATTGTAAGTGTACTAAGGAAATATTTACATGAAATACAGATCTGAAAAAACAGAACTTACAGTAGTCCACAAYACGTCCCCAAAAAATCAACACATTAAATGTCCTGCTTAACCAGAACAAGTCACAAAGATTTTTTTTTTAATGACTCATCCATTTCCCTCAGAAAGAAACCAAATCCCACTTTCCTTTCTCAGACCAGACTCCTGCAGAAATAGGTGGATTGGGGGTAGCAGCAGAACAAGGACAGCATGAGGGGAACAGTGAACCTTAGCCCCAGGGACTGGAAAATCCTCAAAAATGAGGCCCTTTTAATCCATATTTGCCTTCTCAGTGCAATCTTGTATTCTGTAACATCAAACAGCAAGAACCCCAGGAGAGAGGGAACCACAGCAAGGGGATGTGTTGAGTGAGGATCATTATTTCTAAGGCTTTGTGAAGCAAATTCCACCTTTGGCTGCATTTTGGGAGGAAATCACACASGGCCTTGAGCAAAGGTCCAGCTCACACCCTTATTTCTCATCAGATTCTYCCTGAGATGTGTCAGCATCAGGATTGACCTGGTTCTTGTGCCTGAACCTCATCACTGGAACAGAGAGGGCCTTTGGGAATTGCCAGGAGGAGCTCAGGGTTTGGAGGGAGCTGTGCTTTGCTCTGCAGCTCCCAGGGGAAGTGCTGCTTGTTCTCAGTGTGTCTGAACCCTCTTGGCTCTCCAAATCTGTCAGGGCAGAGTGGGAGAGGTGCAGCCACATCGTGGGGAACACTGGAGATGGATTTCTGTACTGACAGCTCCCAGGAGAAGATCCAGAAGGCAGAAGGTGCAGGTGCTGATGTGGGTTAGTTTGGTGTCCTGGGTTTTATGGGGGGCTTCCTGCTGGCAGGTCTGGAGAGAGAAGAGGGTTTGATTTATTGGGATGGGACAGGAGCAAGGAGGCAATTAATGTGTGATGAGCTGATGAGCTCCTTGAGCCTTGGGCTGCAGCCAGGGAGCTCCAAGAGGAGGCTGCAAAGTGTTCCTGAATCCTCATTGTGCATATGAAAAATCTGCCACCATTTCAAGAAGTATTTGCTTAAGGTATACTGATGGTCAGTTCTTAGAAATTTTTTTAAAAAATGTGGGCTTCTAAAATTTACGTCTGACTTCTGCACTCTCCCCTCTTTAAGCTTTGCTCCACATTCAGAAAGGAATGAAGAAAGAAGAGCTCAGGGTCTGGTTATTTTTTGGGGGGTTAGACAAGGTGTTGTCAATTCAGAGAGACATTTTCTTGTTTGTTTGCTGCCTGCAGAGCAGTTTGAAAGGAGGCTTTCCAGACARGCAGTGTGCACCTGGAATAATAGAAATGACTGGTCTCCATCAAATGAGAGTTCTATGCTGATCTAATGAGTTGAGGATTTGGCACCTGTTTTCAGGGAAGATTAATTGGTGGTGCAAAAGGAATCCTTCTGCCCCCAGAAAGGATCACAGGCCAGATCCTGAGGTGCTCTTGAATGGAGTGAATTGTACTGTGAACTTCCAAAAAGCTTCATTTCAGTGAGTGAGAACTGCTCTGAAATTCAGCAGGAATTTCCTCTCTAAATAAAATCTGAATTATACTAAAATTGGTTGAACCAGAGCTCTGTCGAGTCAGGGCTGCTGAAGGAGAGCCATTCTTGAGGAGGTGATTTCCTGACACCCCTGAATTACAGCCACTCCATCAGGGCAAAACTGGAGAGCTCTGCAGGGTGTTTTTCTCCCCTCAGAGACAGAACATCCTTGCACAGAGCAGGCAACAGGGGTTGAGATAAGTGAAGAATGCAAACATCCTAAACAAGATTGCACAAAAAGCTCTTCCTTATCTTTTCTCAGGAAAGGATCAGGAGAGTGCTGGATATAATAAACATCCCCTGTGAAAATGACAGTCTGTTCAATTTTACAGAAGGTAAAAATTGCAATCTGCCTTTACAAGAAAAATAAATTTGTAGGGATCCTGCAGGGAGATTTTTTCTGAATGATTGCATTAAACAGCAATTACTTTTGTTRCTATGAAACCCATGGATGTATAACAAGGAACAGGAAAATTTATCTGATTTAAAAGTTGCTTTGATTGGCAAAGAATGAGGCTTAAGAGGTGTGAACATGCTGTTCCAAATTTTCTTGGCAACCCAGGTGTTCCAAGCAGTGGCCCAGCCGTGGTTGCCCTCGAGCAGTTTTGGGGATTTCTTGGTGTCTCTCTTGCCACAAGCCCCAGGGTGCCCAAGGCTTGCAAAAGCACACGAGTGGTTTCCTGCAGAGCAGGAGGGGTGAGCAAACCATCTGCAGGGAGGATCTGCAGAAGCAAAATGGGTGTGGGCAAAAGCATTTCTTCCTCCAAATTGGGGAATTGCAATTCTCATTCTGATCGTGCTCTGCTGGTGACTCAGGGTGGGGAATGGGCTGGGGAGGGAGGAGAGAGAGCATAAAGAAAAGGGTCCTGTGTGCCCTAAAAACTGGGTAACCCCTTAATCTATTCCTGTCTGTTCCTCAGGAGAGTCAGGCAAGGCTGCAGCAGCCCCTCTCCTACTGCTCCTTGGTGCCTGTTGGGGAAACTGAGGCAGGAAGCTGCTGATCCAAAATGGTGCAAAGAGGGATTTGGGATGCAAGAACTCTCATTTCCTCCATGGGCACATCTGAATGTGCAGTGAAAGGTCTGGTTTAGGGAGGGGAAGGGATGAAATATGGTCMCCCCCAGGCTGGAGTTGGGAGTGGTGCATTGGGAGCACAGAAATGGGGTTTGTTATGAGCACTGGGAGATGTGCTCAGTTTTTGGGCTGCCACAAACACCTCCTGTCTTTGTGTTTCAGATCTGCTGTAGTATCAGGGCTCAGTGATGTGAATTAATAGTTCAAAAATCAACAAAAAAGCAAAAAAAAAAAAACCAAAACCCCTTAAAACAGAGAACAGGAGAAGCTTCTGCTCTGCTTTTGCCCTTAAATCGTTGCTCAGGCCCCTCCCAACCATCGTCTGTCAGAAGCAGAATTTTCAGGTTGCTTTTTGGCACCTGGCTCCTTGATCTCTTGAGGGTGAGATGTTGCCAAGTCTAAGAGAAAACTGACAATGCTTGTCACTCACCTCTTACACYTGCACCTTCGTTTTCTGGTTTCTAAAAAAAGAGACAAAATGTTTCAGTTCAAAGGTASCAAGTCACAGGTCAGAAATGAAACAATCCAGTGAGGTAGAGGTGGTGTTCCCCAGCAGCTGATATCTTTAAGATTAACAGTGGATAAACCCTGCTTATTTTTGAGTAAATCCATTCCAGGGAGTGGTGCTGCAGCTCCTGTTACCCCAATAATCCACCTAAACATTTTAATGAATTAAACTTGAATGTGAGTAGCAGCAGCAAYGTCATCCTGGGAGCACTGAGGGTGAATGATTTCTGTCTGCTGTCTCCAGTGACTTTGGCCTGTTGCTGAAAATCCCTCAGCAGCAATTATTTCTGCAAGAGGCAAGTGGCAATGATGCCACATTGCATCCAACCAAGTTAATGATGCTTTTCCCTGTGTTGGCATCTGTGCTGTTACTTTGGTGTCGATTCAGCAAAACAAAATGTAGAGCCACTAATTTTAGACCAGGGTAAAAATCCATCCTGGAGGGCTTGGGCTGCAGCAGAAATTAATTGCAGGTGATGGTTTTACACTGATCACAATGTAAGGATGTTTCTCATCTGGTTGCTGCTAATGGGACTCTCRGCATTTTCTGGAGCACATTTACCCYGTTAGGTCAGAATGTTCCAGGCTCTGGGATTTAATCCTCTGACACATCCATTTAAGGATGGCAGAGCCAAGACAGCTGATAGAGTGAGTACTGTCTCTTCCCTAACCTCTTTTTATTCCTTGAAGGCCTTTCCCAACCTAAATAATTTCAGACTCTATGATTATATRTTGGCAATTCTTTCTCAGCCAAATCCTACCAATGAGGATTCAAGCACAGACACTGATTTTAACAGTGTTCTTATCTTGGTTTGACCATGCCCTGGTTATCTGCTGCCTCCCAAAGCAGCCAGAACATCCATCCCCCTGTGCTTTCAGGCCAGAGGTGCATGTGGAGGGGGCTGTGGTGAGGTTGTGGTGAGCCTTACGTTGGCACAGCACGGTGGTGATCACCAGGGCGATGAGGAGCAGGAGGCAGGCGCCTGCCAAGGGGATCCAGATCAAAGTGTGACACAAGAAATTCATCTCCTCTTGCATTCTTGTCCCTGCAGGAATAGAGAAGAGGAAAAATCCAGCAGGTGCTCATGAAAATTGTTACATCCAGATCCTCCCTTTTCCTGGGGACTCGAGGGAGGAAATGTGGGCAAAAGTTTTCTCATGTCTCCTGCTGAGGCTAAAAGCAGCCCAGCCCCAAGGCTCTACCCTCCCTCCCACTGTTCCTGCTGTGCCCAGATACGGGACATGCTCGTGCTTTATGTCATTTTAGCCTTTCTTAAGCTGAATGAAACAGTTTAATCCTTCCATCTGTGATAAAGCTCTGTGAACCTTCACTCTCCCTCCCAATCCCAAAATGCCTTCAGGACCCCCTTGGTGTCAGTAGACCCCATTCCAGCTCTTCCCCTCTCCCTCCCTCCATGCAGTTTACCTGGATCTGGAGTTTTGGGGTTGGGGTCCTCAGTTGTGCCCCCCTTTGGGGTGGATCTGGGGGTGGTGGGTGCCACTGTRGGGGTGGCTGTAAGGACAGATGGATGAATTCAGCACATAGGGAAATACAATAAAACAGATCTCTCCTCCCCTTCTGCTCTCCTACCCCTGCCAGGGCACGGCTGTTCCTGTGTTCAGCTCCAGGGAAATTCAAACAGCTCATTTCGGAGGGGACTTCCCCAGGAAGGGTCTCTCAGGAGCCAGCAAGGGGCTGAAGCTCTTTGTTTGTCCCTTTCTGACACAGCCTTTGGAAAGGCTGAACGCTCTGCAGCTCTGTGTGCTGAGGAAGGAGGGGATGGTGGTGGTCTCTGTTTTAGTCCTCTCCCTGCAGAGCCATGGGTGGGATGGAGGAGTGGGGATGGGGAGATGATGCTGGGACTGCCCAATCAYCTTTSCTTTGGACAGGAGCAATCCCTGGAGGAGAGGTGGGAAGCAGGGAGCCTCTGGCAGGGGGAGCAGTGGGTTGGTCACAAGATGCTTTGGGCAAGCAAGGAGACAATGGGGTTTGTGGGACAGACGGCTTTTTAGTTAAAAAGGGCACGGGCAGGAGGTGCTGGGCATTTTGGCAGGGCTGAGACTGAGTGAGGCTGGGTAAGGGTGTTGCTGACCTGGAAGGAAGAGAGGCAGCCCATTGCTGAAGAACAGCCTTTGGTTGAAGTTCATGAGGCACAAATATTTCCCTTCATCCTGCGCTGTGAAAGATTTCACTACCAAATGATAGATCTGGCTTTCTTTTCTTGCCTCAAAGCGAGAGGATGAACTGTGATCCCTGAATGTGGTCCGGGACAAGGAAGAGATGAAGACRATGAAGTGGAGGGTYCCACTCTTGTCCTGGCGGAWCCAAAATGTGCCACTGTCCCTGTCTGTGTGACACTCCAGCTGCAGCCTGTGTCCCACCCGGAGCTGGGTGATGTCGTTGTGTGACCTGACCCTCATCAGGGGCYGGCCATGGATCCCAGGGCAGCCTGCAGGAGAGAAATCCTTGCTGGAACCACTTGGGAAGAGTCCCTGGGTTCTGTGAGGAAAGCTCCCTCCCTGTCCATGGGCTGGAAGCACAAATGGAACTGGAGGGCCACGCTGTGTGGGTGATGTGAAGGATTTCTTGGAGTCGTGTCTGGGATGGTGCCTGGAGGGTGCTCAGCCATCAGCCCCTGGGCTGTACAGATGGGCGCTGCCCTTCCAGTGCCTCCTCAGGGCTATTACACCTTCCCAGCTTCTCTGGAGTGAATCCCTACAAACACTGACTTCTAAGCCCCTTTTTCTGCCCTTCTCCCTCCCCTCCAGGGCCACTCATCTGAGCAGTCTCCCTTCCCGGAGCGTGTGGAGCTGTAGCCACCCCTGCCGCTGAGGCAATGCCGCCTTTCCATCCAAACATACTGAGCACAGCTCAAAGTCGGTCTGTTTGGTTTGATTCCCCCCCATCCTCTATGTATTTATCCCATTTTAYTGGGTTCAGTGGAAGGGTTTTCCTCGCCCCTCCCGCTGAAGGGGCTGCCCAGCCCCGTGTCCGTACTCACAGAGCCCCAGGGCGAGCAGCAGGAGCAGGGCAGGAGAGCTSTCCATCTTCTGCTGGGGTGTCCGTCCGTCCCTGGGGCCGCTGCAGCGCAGCTCAGATGATCTTTGTCACTTGGTTTGGGAGGCTGTGCCGCTCTTTGGGGAGGATGTGATGTCACCAGGACCCTCTGGGGTAAGAAGGTGATACTCAGCATCTGTGGCATAATGAGGAAAAAAAAGATTTCTGAATAAATTTTTTTTCTAGACCAGAATCTGAGCTCCTTTATCCTTATCAGTTCTTTGAGGTGCCTCAATGATTTTTCCTGCATGGCTTCTCTAGGGATCCAGAGTGATGCTGCTCATGGCTGAGGTGGGATCTGCTGTCCCCAGCCCTCTGGGGTTCCACAGCAGCTCCAGCTTTGCAGAAGTTATGGAAAACTCTCACGTTTTGTCTGGAGGCCCCACTTTGCTTTCCTTGGCAAGGATTCTGCCTCCCTCCCATGAGCACACTCAAAGGGTCTGGTGCAGATGGCAGAGCCCACASTGTTCTGTTCCCCACCAAGTGAGACACAGGTGTTTCATGGCACAGACACACACATCCTGTATCTCCWAGCCACACAGCTGTGTTCCTCAGGTGCTTGACTGTTCTCTTTGCAATCCTTTGTTTAATTCTTTACAATTGCAAATTGCTTTGTGGTGGGGCAGGAGGGCTGTGAGCAGAAACTTCACAGGAGTGCCCAGTGCCCAGAGTGTGCTTTGCTCTTTTTCTATTTGTTTTAACARCTCGTGGCTCTCTTTTCTCACCACGGGTACTTCCTCTCTGCCAAAAATACCCCTGGTGATGCAGTGGGAAGGGCCCTTGCTGCTGCCTCCAGCTGACCACTTGCACATGGGCATGGTTGATGCTTCCTGGGGCTTTGCACACACAGTAACAACAATTTCACCAGACTCTGAGGGTTTGGGCTGGTGCCTTAGTTATTTCTTTCTTCCTGGCTTTCCTATTGGTTATTTTTCTGTATGCGGGTTTTTGTTTTTTTTTTTTCCATTACCCCTTTGCAAAGAAAGCCCCTTTATCCAGGGCTTTTCTGTCAGAAAGTGGGTTCTGCTGGGATTGATGCTGATTCTATTGGGGCTCAGAGCTGAATAACTGAAAATGGTTTAGGAGCTGGGTTTATTTCTCAAGGCTTCAATGAATGTTGGTGAGTGAAGAATGCCCATGTTAGGCCTGCTGAGATGTGTGAAATTAATGTTTTTGCTGGGCTGGGAGATTTGTGATGTCTATCTTAAATAGAGCAAATAAACTAAAATGGAAGTGAATGTGTTGTGAGTGAGGAAGGGTCAAAAAATTTGTCAGATCCAGTTTGTCACTCTGCTGTAGGGTGAGCATGCAGTGCATGTCCTCAGAGATGGGGTGATGCATGTGCTGGGAGAACCTGTGCAATTAAAGRATCATCAATTAAAGGGCTACTGCCTTCCTTAGGAGGGATATCTCATTTCTTTCATCTCTGACAAATAGTGAATTTCATTGTGAATCAGTCCAGGGTACCAAACTGATGCACAGATATTCCTTTCATCTGTTTAGATGTGTCCTTGGTCTCAGTTCTCATTTCTCACAGATGGAGCTGATTTTCCAGGCAAGGCTCCTTTTCCTCTGCTAATGAATAGATCCTGTAAAGGCAAGGCTGGGAGATAGAGCTGAAGGAGGACTGTCACACATTGCTTTTTTTACTGACTTCTGTGATAAGGTGTTGTGTAGCACAAAGATATTTCTATTTTGCATAAAACAAGAAAAAATTAAGTTGYGGTGRCAATTATTTRATTAGTAAAAGCWCCAGGATACAAGYGGGACCTCCAGGAAAAAGCTCKGGYTTAAAATCAACATTTKTATAARTAATTTAGATTGTTTKWTGTAATTTTAACACTGATGACCAACTCCAAAATTGGGAGAAGGTGGCCAATCAGATTAATTAAGGCATTTCCATGATTTTTGTAGGTTCTGGTTTGGTTGGTTGTCCTCTAGTCAGTATTTTAGAATAGAATGTCATTGTTTGACTGAGGGCCTAAGCCAAATCAATGAACTAGGATTAATAATATGTTTTATTAGTAATTTCCATTGTAGTGCCACTGTTATGATATGACTGAGGAAGAAGAAACAATACTCAGACAACCTTTTACTTCAGCAGATCATAGAGAAGTCGGGACACCAGACAGGTTGATTAGAAAGTAAAAGGCAATTTCTTTTTTCTCCCAAACTGAAAAATAACTTCAATTTTACCCACAGCTAAGGTTACAGGACTCTCATTGCTGGTGAACAACCTAAATTGCATATGGCTGAGGTTTATCTTTGTATACTTGGGCCAGCCTAAGTCTGTATTTAATTAATKCCAAATAATTAGCAGAGGAAGAGAGGAGCAAGAAGACAAGAGAAAAAATCATGCAGGGGCAAGACAGAGTAACAGGGATCCACCTGTTTTTGAATGGGGCTTGGTGAGAGGTGASTTTAGGACTCATTTTCTCTGCTTTCTTGCATCCATTTGACAGAGAAGGAATGGGAAATGAGAGGGAGCTGTTGCACCAGAGCTGGAGGACACGCTGAGTTTTGGATATGTTTGATTTCTCAGTCATTTTGTGGAAAGCTCTGAGGGACTTTTTCATGGAGCAAGAACCTCTTCATTTTCTCAGTGTCAGTCACAGCAGACATTGCCTGGATGTCTCACAGTTTTGCRTGGCTGGAGCTCCTCTCAGGGCATGGGAGCCGCGCTGTTCATGGTCAGTGAACACAAAAACAGCATTAAAAGGACTGTTCTCCATCAGATCTGTTGTTCTGCTGCCCATGGTGATTCCCAGTGCTCCAGAACATCCCATTGCCAAGCACTGATGTCCCATTCCTGAGGATGAGCAGGTGCTGTTGGATCCTTTCGAGCGGTCAACGATGGTAACTCAGGGCTGGCACCGGACTGTCTTTGCCACAGCACTGCTGGCTCTTCCCATCCTCATTCTTTGAAGGATTGCATCAAAACTTTCCATTCCAYTTTCATAAAGAGGAATGGAAAGTTTTAATGAAGATTTCAAAATCTTGTCGCAAATTACAAACATTTTTTTTTTTTCCAAACAGAGGAAAAAACACAATAGTGAGACCATAGCGCGCAGCTTTCCGGTGYGAAGTGAAGCTGTGGTTTATGAGCCACTCGTTGCCCCCTTTTCTTTGCAGAGCTGCAGTGCTCAAAGGGGTTTGCAGAATGTCAAGTGCAACAGTCACCCAGCAGGTACTGGCACCTTTTTTCACTCTAGYTGTGTGTTTCCAGTTCAGTGGCCAACACTGCCCACTCTTCTGGGTACTCTCAGCATGCACRTCACATCCCTTAAAATCCAGAATGCAAATCACAAATGCTCCTGCACTCTCATCTCTCTGCAGCCCTTTAGCTGACCAGGGTTTTTAATTTTAAGGTTAAAAATTTCCATAATCTTCAGGTTTGTTGGTACCTCAGCTCAAAGTTCGAGTTTTGTTGTGAGTTTTCCTTATGGAGCCTTCCCACWCCTTCTCTATTAATCCTGCAGAGCTCCTTTGTGCAGGCATTCAGTAAATCAGCAATCCATSATGGCAATTTTTGGGGACTGGTGGTAATTTACTCTGCCAGTGCCCAGCTGCAGTTAACACAAGACAGCTTGGTTTTCTGCCACTCCAATCTAAATACCACAGATTCAGACCACAACTACAAAAGACCTAAGTTATTTTAAACTTAAGACTGTATAGACTTCAGAAAAGGTAAATTATCTGTTTGACTCCAGCATATCATATTTTGTCTGAACAATTCAAATAGTCTTTACTAGGTGAACTGGTCTCATTATCTCATTTCCAATTCCCACAATCAAATTTCTGTTAGGTTCAAAGCACTGTTTGATTCCTGTCCTCTGAGTTCAGCTCTCCTCCAGGATCTCACAGCCTTGGTGTTGTCCTGGCAGTCCCAGGAGCTGACTTCTCCTGTCACCACCAATCCAGAGTCTCTTTCCTTTTTGCACATTGACCTTCTTCCCCAAGGACTTGGGCAGGAAATGCTGATGGGGATTCCTCAGGGAGTTTCTGAGCCCATCTGCATGGTGCAGGAGGAATTCCCCAGAGCAGGGTATTGCTGTGCATCTTTGCTGTTAAAATCTTTGGGGGCAAACTAATCCACAACAGGTAACAACTAATGGAATAGAAGAATTCCTACTTCTGTTCTCCACCTCTCCTGCTGGCAGAGCTGGCAGGATGAAAACTTGTGGCTTGCTGGAGGCAACTTCCTCTATCCATTTTGTGATCCTATTAATAGCATTTGCTGGCTTATGCAGCTTATTTCTTCTCAATTTTGCATTTATTTGTTAAAAAAAAAAAACCCAAAACAAAAAACAACCCAACCCTCTGTGTTGAACTAAACCTGCAAGATGCAGCTCTAAGCCACGATATCCTGAACAAAAGGTATGGTGGCATCAAGAAGCAGCAGCTGGTTTAATGCTGCCTGCCATCAACAAAACAAACTAGATTTGGTGCTGAGTTTCACTTTTGACAGCCTGATCCCCACTAGTAATGTGAAGAGAAGTGTGGGATTACTCTTCCCATGCCTGTTCTTCTACAGGCAACACTCCCACCCTGATTGTGAGTGTTGGATTCAGAGGTCAAACAGCAAATCATGTCTAAAACAAATCCTGCAAACTTTATTCTAATGCAAATTAATTTCTTTGCATTTATTGTTGTAACTACAGGACTTCAGGGTCTTTCAGAGACTGGGCAATACAGGCACAGGTGAAGYAGCTATAGTGAAGTGTTGTGTGAAAGGAAAACCAGCCCTAGCTTGTCTATAAAATTTGTGTTAAGACAGTGACTACCATGGGAACCTCAACTCTTTGCCCAGCAGGAAAAACAGTGTGGATATCAGCAGGTGGGAAGGAAATCAGGTATAAAACACAGAACACARCTTTGCTATTGTATGGTCCAGTGGTCCAGTCCTTGGCCAAGGCATGGTCCAATGCCCTGAATAAATCCTGAATGCTGTGTGTTGGTCTCACCCCACATCTCACAGACAATTAAAAAAAGAAGTAGTAGAGCAAGAAAAGGTTCTGAGAAGGACAAAATTTAGGATCAGAAGGCTGGGATTGTTTTTGTGTGGCAGGCTAGGACTCATTACCGTGAAAATAGGATTTAAATGGGTATATACTAAAGGYCTCCAGAACT